GTGTGTGTGTGTGTGTGTGTGTGTGTGTGTGTGTGTGTATTCTCTAGGCTGCTGTGCTGCTGCTGTCAGATTGGTTTTAAGTCTTTCCCCTTCCCCTCAGCATTCTCTGCCCTGGCCAACATCAACCTGGCGTTAGAGCAGGGCTGTGCGGCGGCCCTGCTCAAGGCTCTGCAGTCTCCGGCCCTGGGCCTCCGAGGCCTGCAGACCCAGAACAGCGACTGGTACATGAAGCAGCTCCAGAGCGACCAGCAGCAGAAGAGACAGGTGGGCTGCCTGGCCTTCTTGGTTCTGTGTCAGCCCCCAAGATGTCTGCCCTTGGCTTCTACACTCTCCCCCAAGTGTCTGTCCCTGGCTTCCACACTGTCCCCCCGGTGTCTGCCCCTGGCTTCCACACTGTCCCCCCGGTGTCTGCCCCTGGCTTCCACGCTGTCCCCCAGGTGTCTGCCCCTGGCTTCCACGCTGTCCCCCAGGTGTCTGCCCCTCACTTCTGTGTGGTCTCTCCGGGTATTTACATGGCCATTCCCTAATACAAGTATTTTTCTTAATACAACTTTATGTGGCGTTTTAAATTTCAACTAGAGTACATGCACATTCTCTAAAGCCCAATTTCACTTTAAGAGCTGTGAATCCTCTTTTAAAATACATGATGCCTCCTCTCTCCATTACCCATTCCTCTAATCTCCTCCCTCTAAGGGAAATCTGTGTAGGAAAACCTGAAGTTTTTCCATTCTTACTTCAGGAAAAGCCCATGTCTCGGGTTTCCTCTGGCTAACACTGGAGAATACTTCAGGTGCTTCAGGGTGGATCACGTGGGATTCAACTTGTATAGGCTTTTCCCTGAAGAATAAATAGGAAAGTCTCTTCTTTCTTGTCTAGATAAAGACAAGTGTACATCTTACAAACTCCTAGCATGTATTGGTTGGAATAAGCTACATCACTACCCTTCTGAGTCCATAAATGTTTACTCATAGAACATTTCAGCGCTTTACACACAGACACTCACCATGCGCATGTGCCAATATACTAGACTATGGAAAGCCACTGTACCCCAGATTTGGCAAGGGCTTGGTCGTATGAAGCCTGGAGCTCTCTCTTACGTCTCTGGTTCTCTGTCCCTTGTGACTGCTGTGAAGAGAACTTTCAGCCCCAGAGGCCTACGCATGAACAATCATCTCATCAGTGTCCTTTGCTTCCCCTAGAGTGGCCAGACTGACCCCCTGCAGAAGGAGGAGGTACAGGCCGGAGTGGATGCTGCCAATAGTGCTGCCCAGCAATACCAACGAAGTAAGTCCCTTAGCCCAGGCCAGGGAAGTGTTCACGGGGAGGAAAGCTGTGGCTTTGTCATTTAAGGGTCTGAAGTTATGTCACGTGGTACCTGAGCCTCCCGGTCATGATGAAAAGCCACGTACTTTTTGGTGGCCACAGGGTTCTCGTAGTTTTAAAAGCAGAACTGGAGTCCAGGCAGATTCACTCTGTCTAAAGACGCCTTTGTGGGTAGTCAGGGGAGTGTCTGGAGAGGTCCACACTTAGAGGGTAGAGACTTGGGCTGTGGAGGAGGAGAGAACATTCCTGATTGTGGCAGAAGGAGGAAAGTGGGCGCAGACAGTGCCCACGGGACAGGAGAGGTTAGAGCAGTGGCTGCTGTGAAGGAACGCTGCACTGTTTGTGTGGGCAGAGCGGTGTCAGGTGCAGTCCGGAAGCTTGGAAGGGCAGCCTCACTAGAAAGTACTGATCGCACACCTGCTGACTGGTGCGGGCAGGACGTGGAGGCCGAGAGGGAAGGGACTCTTTTTTTTCTAGACCCAAGCTGGGTTTTATTGACGTGCTCAGTGTGAGCACACGTCAGGGTAGCCAGGGAAGGGCGGACAGAGGTGTAAGCTGTGAAGTGATGGGTGACAGACCCCATGTCCATGGTCCTGCCTCCCCTGTCAGCCACAGGATGAGTGAGCACCATTAACTGGTCCCCCTCCCCCAGCTCAGTCCTGCAGCGCCCCTGCCTCTGGGCCGCCTTGTTCTGGGGTCCGGCACAGGAATTCAGGAGAACAAAGGGTGCACTCCTGGACTGGAGGCCGCCTCCTGGAGTGCCCCCAGCTGGAGGTCCTGGGCCACTCGGGAGGCAGCTTTGAAAAGGGGGGCTGAGGGCCTGGCCTGGGGGAGAGGGCTAGCGGGGTGGAGTCAGCCCTGCACCGAGGGCTGGAGTTCTGGGGAACCAAGGGTGCAGGCAGCCCTCACACTCAGGAACTAGTTTTCAAAGCTACTTTGGCCTTCTTGGGATAAGGAAGAGGAAGATGGTAGGGACTGCCCGCAGCAGAGGGGCAGAATGTCTTTCCTGACTTGGCCCTGCTACGTGAAGTCTATATTGCTGGCACAGTCTAGCACTTGCAAGACAAAGGCATTGTCTGCAAACTGCAAAAGCTCTCTATAAAGTGTGGCAGAGATGCCAGCTGATAGCGCCGTAGATACACAGGAAGGTAGGTATGTAGGTAAGCAGGTCCTAATGCCTGTAGCAGGGAGGGCAGAATCAGCCTGCAGGAAACGCAAACACTGGTATGAAGACATCTTTGTAGACACACAGGACCCAGAACCTGTCATCTCAACTTCTAAAGCTGCCCCTCAACCGTGGTCCAGACAGTGCTAGCCTGGCGCAGTCTTGTTTGAAATTAGGTGCCAGGTAACTCAGCCACTTGCCTGAGAGAGCATACTGGTGCTAGCCAGCTGGCACAACGTGCCTGGCACGATGGACTGCCCGCTGAAGTGTACAGCCGCCCATCCTACCTGCGGGTGCTGCACATCCAGTTAGGGGTGGATCCTTGCTCGTGGACTATAGTCCAGCCCATAGGCTCAGTGCTGGGTGAACAATGTCCGCGTGGTATGTGGGTATTGGCTTCCCAGTTCTTGAGCTCAGTCACAGGCTTGGTTCAGCCCTTACACCAGCAAGAGGTCTGTGTCCACTGCCATGGCCTCTGCAGGTGCTCCATGGTCAAGCCAGTCTTTGGCCTTCTGCATTCGGTGTGGGCTCAGCCTTGGGCCTGGCTCCGTCCCTGCCCACCTATACCCTTCTCTGCTCCTGTTGGGAGTCCATGCCCCTGCTGCTGCTACTGCCCCCCAACCCACTACAGGGCTGCTCCCACCATCTTCAGTGAGGCAGTGGGTTTTCAGAGATGAGACTTCCACTTCAAGCATCATGGCTGATACTGTAGGTACAGAATGGAACTTTACTGTATAAAAATTGGTATCTCCTAGCCAGACCTGGTGGCCTATGCCTAATCCCAGTAACTCCTGAGACAGGAGTGTCTTTATGAATAAAGCCAGAGTAGAGCTACATAGTGAAACTCTGTGTGTGTGTGTGTGTGTGTGTGTGTGTGTGTGTGTGTGTGTGTGTAAATGGGATTATGCAGTACTAGAGAGGTGGTTCAACAGGGCAAGCATTTACTGCTTAAACATGAGTGAGGACCAAGATTCTGATCCCCAGGATTTATGTGAAAGCCCGGTGGGCATGGCCGCTGCTTTGTACTCCCAGTGCATGGTAGGCAAGACGGATAGCCAGACTAGCCTGAACCTAGCGGACTCCAGGTCCAGCAGAGACCCTGCCCCAGTGTATAAGGTCAGGAGTGATCAAGACACCCAGCATCAACTTAAGGCCCCCACATATGTCCTGCCACATGTGTCTACACACATGTGAACATGCATATACACATACACTCCACAGAAATTTTAAAGCAGATTGTGGGTGGTGTGTGTGTGTGTGTGTGTGTGTGTGTATGTGTGTGTGTGTGTGTGTGTGTGTGTTGCCACTGGCCTAGGGTTAAGTGCATTTGCCACTTTGTAGAGGACCAGGTTTAGTTCCCAGCACTCCCGTGGTGGTTTCTGGCCATCTGCAGTTCCAGTTCTAGGAGATCTGACACCTACTTCTGTCTTCATGGACACCAGACACACATGCAGTACACATACATACATGCAACCAAAACGTCATACACATAACATAAAAATAATTTTAAAAAAATAAAAGCAGCGGGGCATGGTGGCACACTCATTTAATCCCAGCACTTGGGAGGCAGAGGCAGGTGGATCTCTGTGAGTTCGAGGCCAGGGGAGTTGTAGGGCAGCCAGAGCTACATAGTGAGACCCTGTCTCCAACACAAAACAAGGCGCTGTTTCTGCACAAGGCTCTGAGTCCACTGCTTGTTGACCTGTTTTCTCTCAGGATTGGCAGCAGTAGCGGCCATCAATGCGGCGATCCAGAAGGGCATCGCCGAGAAGACTGTTTTGGAGCTGATGAATCCTGAAGCCCAGCTGCCCCAGGTGTATCCGTTTGCGGCCGATCTCTATCAGAAGGAGCTGGCCACGCTACAGCAGCAGAGTCCTGAAGTAAGTTAACTGAGCCTGCTCTTTTGGGAGCAGAATGGGGTGGAAGTGATTTAATACCCACATCCCGGTGTGCTTGGGTAGAAGCGTCTTCCAGAAACTCGGGTTTCCGAGCGGAACTTCAGTTCCCTTGGTGTTGGAGAGTGTCTTTCCTCAGTGTTTTCCTCCTCTCCCTCCTCTCCAGCATAGCCTCACCCATCCTGAACTCACCGTGGCGGTGGAGATGCTCTCTTCCGTGGCCCTCATCAACAGGGCTCTGGAGTCAGGAGACATGAACACCGTGTGGAAGCAGCTGAGCAGCGCAGTCACAGGCCTTACCAACATCGAGGAAGAGAACAGTCAAAGGTGGGAGGGAGCCTGGAGCGCGTGCCTCGGGCCCACTGCATGCCGCTTACCTCTGTCTTCTCGCGTCCGCGCTCCTGGTTTCTCTCCGGGCTTTATGTCTTCCTAATGTGCTGTCAGTCGGTTACAGACACCATGATATTCTGTGGGGTTGGGGCTGGAACCAGGGCCTCGTGCATAATGAAGGGAGTGCCCTACCACTGCCCTGTGTCCCCAGCTTGGCCCTCTTCTCTGTCTTTAGAGGAGCCCCTTCCTCTAGAGTTGGTTGGTCTTCTAGAAATCGAGTCTAAGTGGTTTCCTAGTTTGTTTATGTTTTAAGGCCGCTCTGCAGTCCCAGAACTTGCCTATGGCTTATATCAAACATTTCCCATCTTCTAGAGACCTTTGTTCCTTGAAGAATCATTCTGAAGGTTTTTTTTTTTCTTTTGGGCTGGGACAGGTATCTCGATGAGTTGATGAAGCTGAAAGCTCAGGCACATGCAGAGAATAATGAATTTATTACATGGAATGACATCCAGGCTTGTGTGGACCATGTGAACCTGGTGGTCCACGAGGAACATGAGCGTGAGTAATCATCGTGTCCCTTCAGAAAAGGTTGCTGTTGAAGATGACGTGACTGGGGGCTGATGATGGCTCAGTCAGTAAAGTGCCTGCCCTACAAGTGTGAGGTCACGAGTTCAGATCCCTAGCACCCATGTAAAAATTGGGGTGCTGGTGTACATCTGTAAATCCAGTACTGGGGAGGAGGGAGGCAGAGACAAGACACTCCCTGGGAGCTCGTGACCAGCCAACCTAGTGATTAGGGAAAATACCTGATATCAGCCTCTGGCCTCCAAATGCATGTCCACATACCTGCACATTTGCCCACATACTTCCACACATGCAATTGGCACAGACCCACAAAACACACATAAACACATACATACACCACAAGCTGGTTCTAAATATCGCTCCTCCAAGGCTTTTGAATGAAATATTGAAATGTATATGTCTATATATTACACATACACACACACACACACACACACACACACACACACACACACACACACACACACACATCTCAAACAGCTATGGTTGCCTACTGTTTTCAGTACACCAGACAGTTATTATAGTTGGGTACGTATCTTATAAACACATTTTGGGGAGGTGAATTTACATGATCTGTTATAGCTGTAAGATGGTTATAACAAGTGGTTCTACCATAAATGCCTGAGTTTTGTCATCTAGCACAGCTTGAGGGCACGGTCCCCACAAGACCCCTCCTTGTCAGACATCAGCTGCAAGCTCGGGCTGGGTCTCACTTCTGAACAGAGTGGGGGGTTAATGGTTTGCCGGAATGGCTCTGAGAAATCGGAATCGTGCTAGACTTGAGATTATAGTGGGGTTATAAAGGGTATAAATCAGGAGGCAAAGGGGGAGAGCCAGGGACTGTCTGCTGTTGGGATGTGTGGTCCTCAAGCTAATGTCACCGAGCAGGGATGCTCACCTGAGCTTTGGGAATCCAGAATTGACTTCCTTACCTATACACAGTTGGCTGAATTGGCCATGTCTCTGATAATCAGGAGGCCGGGCTGATACTGCATGACTTCAAGCCGTGTCTTACATCCCGCATGGTCAGCCCCATCCTGAAACTGCCCTGAGGCCCACCTAAGATGTCTCCATTGGCACACCTCCAGGTGTGGTGGGAGGAACTTCCGTAAAAGACTGGTGCCCTGTCCTTCAGGACATTCCAGGCTTCCTCTCAGAAACCAGCCAAATGCTGCAACATCCAGCAGAGTCCTCCCCAAAGCAGCCTAGCTGCCTGAGTGGGTGTTTCCAATTTTAGTTTGTTTTCCCTGTGAGAAACACTCAGATGATTGGTGGGAAGGGCCTGGAATGGGCAATCCTGGGCTTAGGTCTTCATCTGCCTCTAATTTGTTGTGTGATCCTAGGGAGGAGGTCCCCAAGCCTCCTGTTCCATTCAGAAAAAATGATGAATGATTTTGATTGCACATCTGAATGTTTCTGAAAGCTGTGGAGCCGGTTTGATTGACCCTCATCACTTCCTCAGCATGTGGTGGCCAGATTTGGAATCTCAGCATTCAGGAGGCCTGGTCATTAAAGCCAGCCTGAACCTCACAGTGAGACTGTCTGAAACAAAAGCACAAGTCCATCACTTAAATTAATGCATTGAAAATGAAACAAAAGAACCCGAGCCTCCTGTAGGAATGGGTAGGATGAGGGAGTTTAGATGAAATAACTAAAAGATGCTTTTGAAATACAGTGCTGTGCAATTGTGGTTTGAATCATGATTACTCTTAGGTGAGTTTATGGAGTTTGCACCGTGTCTTGCTGGTCTTGAACTTGTGGGCTCACATGATTCTCTTCTCCTGAGTAGCTGAGATTATTGGGTTGATTTGTTTCTAAATTTCTTAGATAAAAACTAACTTTTTCTCTGTATTTAGGGATTTTGGCCATTGGTTTAATTAATGAAGCCTTGGATGAAGGGGACGCTCAGAAGACTCTGCAGGCCTTGCAGATTCCTGCGGCTAAACTGGAGGGGGTCCTTGCGGAAGTGGCGCAGCATTATCAAGACACACTGATCAGAGCAAAGCGAGAAAAGGCGCAGGTGAGCAGAGTGTTCTGATTAGGAGCAAAGGTGGGCACAGCCATGTCACCTGTCCCATCATTGGCCCTGGAGAGACTCCTGAGACAAGGGTGGGCACAGCCATGTCACCTGTCCCATCATTGGCCACCAGAGAGACTCCTGAGACAAGGGTGGGCACAGCCATGTCACCTGTCCCATCATTGGCCCTGGAAAGACTCAGGAGAGACAAACCCTTCACCTTCTGGGAACTCATGTTCCTCTCTTGGATATGTCTCTTTGGCAAAATTCTTATTTAAATTAAATTTAATATATATATATTTTTTTCCCCCGAGACAGGGTTTCTCTGTGTAGCTTTGCGCCTTTCCTGGGACTCACTTGGTAGCCCAGGCTGGCCTCGAACTCACAGAGATCCACCTGGCTCTGCCTCCCGAGTGCTGGGATTAAAGGCATGCGCCACCACTGCCCAGCAAATTTAATATTCTTAATTAGCTTCCAAAGTGGCAAGTCTCTTCATGGCAGTTTTGTAAATACGTAGTTTTGATTGGCTCTCCCTCCCACCTCTACCCCCTCACCCCCCATCCTTGCTGATACTGTTCAGAGTAATTGAAATATAAGATCCTGAGAAAGACAAGTCATGTGAAGTATTCAGTTGTATAAACTTTCAGAAATGAATGCACCTGTGTGATTGACATTCAGATTCTATAGCAAGAGTTATCAGCACCCCAAAACTCTCACTCATGTCTCTTTCTGTCTATACCCACCCACTCTCCATTTGGTGGTCCTCACTATCCCAATTTCAGACACCACAGTTGACTTTTGCCCTATAGTTAAGTGCATCCATACATTGTGTGTGCCTCTGTGTCCAACATGCTAGTGACATTCATCCATGTGACCATTGTTGTGTATGATCTTGTTGTATGATTATTTTCTGTTTCTGGGAGTTCTGGATTCCTATTTCTTGACTTATTGGAAGGTTCATCTATGAGAATTCTAATATATGTCTTTTGGTAAATGTGGGGGTCTGTGGGAGTCCAGCTCTGACCTAGGGTTCTTAGGAAGAGGAGAGAGGGGATAAGAAAATATCAGATAGAGAGATCTGGAAGACGAGAAGAAAGACAGAAACACAGGATAGCTTCGGGAGGGCCTGGATCAACAACCAACAGCCTTGAAGGTTTATTCAAAAGGCTTTTTATAACATGACAAAGGGTGTGGCAAAAGACTTCCCTCTTTCAAGATCAAAGCACACCGCACAGCCAAGTGTAGACCCTTCCAAACACCTGGTAACCAGGCCCGTGGTCAAATCATCTCCTTATGCAGCCCTGCTGGGTAAAGCAGGCTCAGATTCTCTGACCCTGAGTAATTTGGGCCTTCACAGGTAAGTAGATGCATGTAGGTGGTGCAGCTCAGTGGTGGAGTGCATGCTTAATATGTATGAGGCCATACATTTGCTCCCCAGCACCTCAAAACAAAACAAAAAATCAATATGTATAAATTTAGGACAGCCAGTGGTGGGTCAGAGGCAGCACATAGACATTAAGCTGTAGTGGAGAAGGCCATGTCTGCTTTACAATGTTTTTATTGAAATGTAACTCACATACCATGTAACTCACCATTTTAAAATGTGTCAGTGGTTCCCAATATAATCGTAGAATTGTGACTCTCAGTCACTTTTAGGGTATTCTCATCATCCCCAGGAGAAACCCTGTACCTGTTAGTAGTCAGTCCCTCACCATCGCTCAGTCTTCCCCTGCCTGTGCAGCCGTCTCCTGTTGTATTTTACGTCCAGAACACTTCATATAAATAGAATCACGTGATGTACTGACTTTTATAACTTTATCCAAGTTAATAGCCTGTGAGTGGAGTAAAGCATTTCATTTTGCTGTGGAATAACTTTGCAACCTTCATCAAGAGTAGGAGAAAGGGCCGGGCATGGTGGCGCACGCCTTTAATCCCAGCACTCGGAGGTAGGCAGATCTCTGAGTTAGAGACCAGCCTGGTCTACAGAGTGAGTTCCAGGGAAGCCCAGGCTACACAGAGAAACCCTGTTTCAAAAAACCAAAAGAAAAAAAACAAAAAACAAAACATCCCCCCCCCCACACACACACAAAGGAGTAGGAGAAAGCGAAAGTTACAGGATCCTTGCGGAACATTACAGGACCAAGTGGGTAAATGGCACTTTGGGTAGAATTGTTTTTTTTTTTTTAGGCATCCGTTTAGCTTCCAAGTCCAACAAACCATTTAGGGAATAGTTTTAAAAATAATAATCATCAAATTCTAAATTTAGCAAGCAAAAGATCATAATTTAAATTTAGTCTGTAGCCGGGTGGGGTGGCACATGCCTGGAATCCCAGCTCTGAGGAGGTGGAAGCAGAATCAGGAATTCATGGTCATCCTCAGCTACTTAGTGAGTTCAAGGCCAGCTTGGGCCTCATGAGACATGACCTCAAAAATAATTAAAAAAAAAAAAACCACATAAGATATTTAATTTGTAGTTCGCTTGGCAGTGTCTCTGTGTCTGTGGTGATCAGGGATAACACTGCCCTACCGACTTAGAGAAGTTTCTGACAGATTGACCAATACTTTAAACACAGATCTTGTTGCGGTGCATCGGTGCGTTCTTTGATTGGTGCGGCAGGCATTCCTCTCCTGTCAGGGAGCGCGGTTGATTAGACGCTAACCTGATGGAGTGAGCACATCTCGGGCTTCCCTTCCGTCCCTTTTTCTTGTTAGTTTTCTGACTAGCGCATCGGAACTGACCTGCCTGTCCTCAGGCTGACTTTCTCCCCTTCTGCACACTCACGTCTGCAGTTCAGTCCATGTGTCCTGTTTCAGGGACTGCGCTTTTTTTCAGTTCCCGGATCTCCATTTTGGTGTGTTTAAGAACGTGCTTTCTCTTTGTCTGTGGGGTAATGTTCCCACACTTTAGTTCTAGACACAAGTCCTTAGTTCTTCGAACTTAGATAAAATCGCTGGTCTGAGTCTTTGTCTACAAGTTCAACGGGAGGCTTTTTAGCGACGATTTCTGTTGTCTTGTGGGTTTTTTGTTTCATTTATTTATTGTGTTGTGTATGTTCTTTCCAGTCTCTTTGTGTCTTATTTTTTGTTGTTGCCGTTTTGTTTTGATGATTTTTATTTTTTATTTATTTATGTATTTATTTTCATTTTTGGAGACAGGGTTTCTCTGCTTACTCCTGGCTGTCCTGGATCTCCTTCTGTAGACCAGGATGACCTCGAATTCACAGAAATCCACCTGCCTCTGCCTCCAGAGTGCTGGGATTAAAGGCGTGAGCCACCACTGCCCAGGGATGATTTTATGTTAGCACATTTTAATGATAATGTGGTAATTCCAGAAATCAGATTCTTCTCTCTCATAAATCACTTGTTGGGGTTTTAGGGCTTTGGTTTTTGTTGAGACAGGGTCTTGCTTCAGTTTCCTGAGATTGCAGGTGCAGGCCACCATTCTTGCAGCTGGTCGGTGACTTTTGTGAATTCTGTGAAGTGTCTTTGTCATGTATATGCACTAAAACCAAACTCTCCTCATCAGCTAGTGATTTGCTAACAATTACACAGGTTTCCCAGGGTCCATGGAGGGGTGAAGCCTCGCCCCCTACTGAGGGCTCTGTGCTTCCCCTCAGCAGGCTTTCTCTTCAAGCTTGGACTCCCAGGGGCAGCCAGCCCCCTAGGTGAGGGCTGCGAGCTCTGAAAGAGGACGGACGCCATGTTTGTTTACAGTGCTTTCAGTGGATTATAATTTGCACACCATAAAATCCCTCATTTTAAAGTGTGTGCCCGTGTTTCCCCTGTATGGGTAGACTTGTGCAACTCTCACAATTTTAGAAATTCTCATCCTCCTCCCATGCACTATGTGTGGCCTCCTAGATTCTCATCCCAGGAAGACATCACATTTTCAAAGCTTTCTCTAAATATCCATTCTCTAGATTTTCGGTTAGTGTTATGTTTTCTTTGTCAGCCTGACTGTCACCTCTCGCCCTATGTCAGTCATGCTGAGCAGCCAGGTAAGCCCCTGCCTGGGTCAGATGAGGACAAGGCAAGCACGTGTGGGCCACAGAGTTCGCTCTCGCTCACTGGGATTCTGCCTTTGGGCCAGCGCTGACTGTTCCAAGCCTTCAGTTCATCTCAGCAGCTTGGAAAAGCTAACACTCACCATTATGGGCCAGCGTTTTGTTGCCTTTGTGGTAAGAGGTTTCTCAAGAGGTAGTCTGCCATTTTTTTCCATGCTGTTTCTTTCTTCCTTGACTTGAAATTAGTGCCTTCGGAGCGTTTACTAAAAATGAATTACCAGTCCCTGGGTAGTAGAGGCCTGGCTTTTTCCATTCAATTAATCCACAGCTCATGTGTGGAGCTTCTTCTTATGTACGAGTGACTTTAAAAACTCTCTTCCCATGTACACATGTATACACATATGTGCTTACGTGTAAGCCACTCGTAGCCGGTGCTAGCCTATCCTGACACGCCAGCCTCTTCACATTGCCTTGCCTTTTATACCTTAGCTCCATGGCTTGGCTCTTAGCGGATTATGTGTGGAAGAAAGGTTTAATTTAGCTCTTTGCTTTAGCCTGCGCGGGGCAGGGAGAGAGGACTGGGAATGGTCAGAATTCTTGCAGAGCTCTGTCTCTCCTTGCAGGGGAAGGCTGTGTTCAGCCCCAGGCTCTGCTGATGGCTGATTCTGCTTGGCATCTCTGTGGGATCAGCCTAGCAGTGACCCAGCAGAAGCTGGATTCCAGCCCATGGAAGCGCTTCTGCCTTGATAAGGGGAGGGCTCGTTGGCTGCCTCTCCTGCAGACTTGGACCGTCTGCCCTCTTGCTGTTGACGTCTCAGTTTTTGTAGTCACAAGCCTGTGGCTGGCTCACCGTGGCTTCACGCTGGAGGTGATGTTTAGCATTTCCAGTACTTAGGTTGAGGACTCGGGGATTGTGTGTGGTCATTTTGTGTCCTCAGTACATGTGACATGAGAGCAGAAGGGAGGAATATTTGAGGGGGGATAGGAGATGAGCAAGAAGGGACTAGAGAGGACGGGGGTGGATAAAACAAAATGCTATATGTATCAAAGTGCCATATTGTAACCTTTATATGTTAGCTTAAAAAGTTCAACTATAGCAGAAGGAAGCAGGCAACTTCTACATCACCTCTGCCACAGTGGTCAACTCAGCTGCACAGGTTCGGTTGGCTCTCTCTTCACCATTTATGATTTTGTGTGGAAATGTGTTTTTAGTTCCTAGCAACTGATTTAGAATGAAAGGCTTAGGCAGCACACACCTTTAATGTTAGCACTCAATCCAGGACAGCCGGGCTGCGTAGAGAGACCCTTTCTCAAAGAAAAAACGAACAGAACAATAACAAAAACCCTGAAAACACACAGAAAGGTTTAGACATGATCTGGTGACACCTGCAGGGACGGTCACCCCGGCCGGTTAAGATAAGGCACGGAGTCTTGAAAGCGTTAGTCGTGGTGGAGAACTGGAGCTGCCTCTGTGGCAAGGGCAAAGGAGGCTTTCTAGACTCAGTGTGTTAACAGTCACGCTCTGGCTTTTGTCACACTGTACAAGTCCCTGGATCCCTTCCTGGTGTATCTGCTCCTGCTCCCTCGCTGCCATCAACTTCCTGAACGGCTGGCTTCGTCCTCATTCATCCTCTGCCTGCATCTGAGCCATTTCCCGATTAGCTTAGAGCAGGATTTTTTTTTTGTTTTTGTTTTTTAAGAGATTATTTTTAAAAGAGATTTTCTATTCGTTTTACATATCAACCACGGATTCCCCTGTCTTCCCTCCTCCCACCCCCCAGCCTTCCCACCTGACCCTCCCAATTCCCACCTCCTCCAAGGCAAGGTCTCCCCTGGGGAGTCAGCTCAGCCTCGTACATTCAGTTGAGGCAGGCCCAGTCCCCTCCTCCCTGCACCAAGGCTGTGCAAAATGTCTCAGCATAGGCACTGGGTTCCAAAAAGCCAGTTCATGCACTAGGGGACAGGTCCTGGTCCCACTGCCTGGGGGCCTTCTAAACACTTCAAGCTCAACAACTAGGGCAGGTTTTTTGATGCCTAACTTTTTCCAGTCAATTAATCCACAGCTCGTGTGTGGATCTTCTTCTATAGCCGAGTCCCAGAAGGCCCTCATCACGAATACCCTGACATCATGGCTCTATTTTGTTTTGCTTTTAATCATGTAGGAAACCCAGGATGAGTCAGCTGTGTTATGGTTGGATGAAATTCAAGGTGGAATCTGGCAGTCCAACAAAGACACCCAAGAAGCTCAGAGGTGTATGTATCCATGTAGCCATTGTTTTGTTTATGTTTGGGTGGAGGGTGAGAGCGCTAAGCCTTTGGTCTGGTGGGTAGGAGGGTAGGTGACTAGCCGGTATGGTTGGGTGAAGTCATGTGAATGTAGACACCTTCTAAACTGCTACATTAATAATTCTCTTCGGAGACAGTTGCCTTAGGAATCTTTGCCATCAATGAAGCTGTAGACAGCGGTGATGTTGGCAGAACTCTGAGTGCCCTTCGTTCCCCGGATGTTGGCTTATATGGAGTCATCCCCGAATGTGGGGAAACATACCAGAGTGACCTTGCAGAAGCCAAGAAGAAGAGACTAGCAGCAGGTGAGTTATGGGGGAGTAAGTACATCCCCGAGCTTGTGAGGAGACAGATGTAGAGGAAGGGACAAGTGTAAGGAGAGATGCTTCAGTGTGGATGTGCAGGCTTTAGGTTCACTGTTCCGGAAAGAGTCCTAAGCTTTGAGCGCTTGTAGACAACTGTGTTAACTAGACCAGTTTCATGAGGGTGTGGGAAAGATCGAGAGACTTGCCTGCCTCTCCTAGGATGCCACAGCTCTGATTATCTGAGGACAGTTGGAAGAAGTTCATAGCAGAGACCGCTTTGTAGCTTTCTCCTTCCTGAATTGCAATGCTGCATGGCCGCCCATCTTCTTCAGGATAGTTTTCTGACCTGCAGCTCCTACAGGCTTTGAAAGAAAAGATTGTTAGTATGGTTGATCCTGTGATGGGGCCTCCTAGGTATTCCTTCTTATAATACAACATAGATGACATAAATTAGACATCACTTAGCCGAGGTTTGGTGGACACATGAGATGCCCTTTGGTGGACACTGTCAGATCCAAGGAACAGGTTTTGGAAGATGTTCAGGTTCTCCCAGTTGCCTAGAATAATCCTCTGGTGTTGGATGTATCGGTGTGGGAGTGTGGCTCTGGGTCCCCTTCATGTCCCCTCTGTGTTCTGCCAGGGGACAACAACAGCAGATGGGTGAAGCACTGGGTGAAAGGCGGGTACTACTACTACCACAACCTGGAGACGCAAGGCGGAGGATGGGACGAACCCCCAGACTTCATGCAGAATTCTGTGCAGCTCTCTCGAGAAGAGATCCAGGTAGGCCACCTCTCTTCACATAAGAAGGGTCTGAGAGAGAAGGCTTCAGGGCTAGTGTTAGTTCAGAGGAGCAACACTTGTGCTCAGTAGTCCTGGACTCAAATGTAGGCTGTGGAGTGAATTATTTGGGGGTAATTGTGTTTCAAGGGTTTGGGAGATGATGAAGTCTAAATTTGAAGACATCTGAGTTGCACAATTCAGTGAGCTCCACGTGTGGTTCTTAAAGAAAACCTGGTGACCCATTGTCTCTGCCTCTTGGCCTTTGAGTGCTGTGGAAACGTCAGGCTCTGAAGAGAGCCTGTGAGGGCAGGCAGAGATGGGGCTCTAGCACAGGGCGGCCATGGAAATGTGAGGGGAAAGTTTAATTCTGTCCTGGGGGAAGGCACCAAGGACATTTTTAACAGGTGAGTAAGAGAGGAAAGAATGTTCTAGACAGAAAGTGTATAGTGCGGGAGTCACTGAGGGTAGAAAAACCAGGACTGTGTGAGGAAAGATACACATGCAGCTGATTGACAGACAGACAGGTGGAGCTGGAGCGGCCACAGTGAGGGAGGGACCACTGGGCTGAGGGGTGGAGGCTGCATCTAGTGATCTCTAGCCTTGGAGAGTCTCCCCAACCTCCCTAGGCACAGCCGGGCTTAGACAGACAGCGCGTGGCATGTGGGTCCAGCATCACAGGGCAGTGATGTTCCCTTGCTTTTAGCACATGACTTAATCTCTTACCCCACCCACTCTGCCCTTTTCATCTTCCTGGATGGCCACTTGCTCCTTTGTTAGCCTCAGCAAGGACGTGTCTCCCTTGTAGAACTCCCGTCGTGTTATTGCTTACTGTCTGCTGCCTTCCTCCCCGGTTCCTGCAAGTCTTGACTCCTCTCCTCATATTTTCCATTATTATACTTGTCTGAATTTGAAGTTCAGGATTGTGAGGTTGATCCTGTGGCTCTGAGGCAGAGCCTGGGAGTCCACATTTCTAACCAGTTCCCAGGCAGCGTGGTTGCAGCCACCCGAAGGACCCCACACAGGTCATGTCTTCCTTCCCCAAAACACAGGAGAAAAGGAAAGCAGCCGCTATGGTGGCACATGCCTTTAATCCCACTCTAGAGGCAGAAGCAGGTGGAACTCGAGGCCAGCCAAGAGAGTTCTAGGACAGCCAAGGCGACATAGAGAGAGACCCTTTAGAAAAAGAGAAAAGGCAAAGCCTTTTCTCAGATTCCTCAGATTTGACCTAACCTACATTCATACCCTGTCTTAAGTGCCTTGAAAGCTAGTCTGCCCCAGATTTCTCTATTTCCGTCCACTTCTTAGCTCACAGCAAAGTAGCATTTTGTCTGACGTCTTTAGTGAAAATGCTTTCTTTAGCATCCGGCACCAGCCTTTGAATTGTCAGGTGCCTTTAGGAAGTCTGCAAAACCCTCCATTCATCTCCGTGCTGTTCTCTGTGGACATCCTGCTTCTGATGCCTTTCATAATCTCCTGCTGCCTTTTCTGCTTCTGCCCGATCCAGCTGTCAGCCCTGCATCACCCCTCCCCTACAGGGCTTGTAAGCCGTTAAGAGAAGGCACTCTCGGCAGTAAGCGGTGACCGTGACCTTAGTCAAGCCACCTGAGATCTGCACCTCCATATCTTAGCCCTTTCCCACGCCGTCAGGCCGCCCCACCCCCGCCCCCTCGAACCAGATCTCCCAGACAGTTTGACAGAAGAACAGAAACTGAGATAATGTGTTAAGGGTCTTGTTGCGTTTTGTTTTGTCCTTCTCCAGAAGGTAATTCTGGACTTCAGCCCTTCAGGGAAGGGGTGGTGGCTCCATGCCATCAGAGTTCCAGGAGCCCCAGTCTTCGTGCTCTGTCCTTAGAACATTCTCAAGGTCATCCCCAGAGACTGCTTGGAGCGGTAACCATCGAAGTAGCTGTCCAGGCAGGAAGCAGAGAGAAGAGGAAAAGCAGTAGGGCATGCCCCCAGCTCTCCCGAGTGAGCTTTCCCAAAGCATTCAGTTCACTGTGTGTTTGGTGTGCATGTTAGGACCTAGAAAAAAGTCTCTAGTGCTAAGGAAAGAAAGAGAAGGCATATTGGTAGGTAATTATATAAGTGGATATTCTTAAACTCTCTCGTGGCTGCTGCCTCATTCAAGTCCGGGGCCTCTTTTTTTTTTCTTTCTTTCTTTTTTTTTGGTTTTTTTTCAAGACAGAGTTTCTCTGTGTAGCTTTGGTGCCTGTCCTGGATCTTGCTCTGTAGACCAGGCTGGCCTCGAACTCACAGAGATCGGCCTGGCTCTGCCTCCCGAGTGCTGGGATTAAAGGCGTGTGCCACCACCGCCCAGCTCAAGCCCAGGACCTCTTACTGGGATTGCAATAGTAGCATTCTAATTCACCTCATTCACACTTACTTCAACATTCTTTCCCAGCATGCAGTGTGTGCGCACAAGTATGCTCATATACATGCATGCACACCTGTAATCCCAGTCTGAAGCAGGATGATAAGAGTTAAAGGCCAGCTCAGGCTACATACCAAGACTCGGTCTCAAAAACAAAATAAAAATACCTGGGGTTTGTGGGGGGTGGCAGTGCGCTAGTGAGCACAGCTCTCCTCCAGTCTGTTAGCTGTTCCCATCACAGCGCCATTTTTCTGAAAATAAATCTCTCTGTTGGAAAGTTTGTCTGTTGTCCATCACCCTCCAGGCTGCTGAGCAAACCCTTCCCGGTGTGTGTGGTCAGGTGCCCTGCACACTTTAGTTCTAGGCTCTTCACCAGCATCGTGAGCCAGTGGGGACGGGGTCATGAGGAACGAACTAAAGGCCTGGCTTTAATATTGAATTATTAACGAACAAATCAGCCTGGCCCTGGGGACCACACCTGCGGTCTTCGTGCCCGTTACTCAGCTGAAGACTGGCTCCAATGGAAGGAGAGTGAAGTCCAATGGAAGGAGAGTGTGCTCCGGGTGGGGGGGGGCTTTGTGTCCATTCTCTTGTCCCTGACGGTCCCCAAATGCGTTTCCAGAGCTCCATCTCCGGAGTGACCGCTGCATATAACCGGGAGCAGCTTTGGCTGGCCAACGAAGGCCTGGTCACCAAGCTGCAGGCCCACTGCCGTGGCTACCTAGTGCGACAGGAGTTCCGATCCCGGATGAACTTCCTGAAGAAGCAGATCCCCGCCATCACCTGCATTCAGGTACTTCACACAGAAGCAGGCCTCTCAAACGGGAGGAATAAACTGTCACACTAAAGTCGAATGAGCGAGTGTGTTTCTTGTGACCTCTTTTCTCCTGGATGGTTACCTCCTGTTTGTGAAATTATAATCATTGTGCTTAATGGTGGTGGCAAAAGGCGTCAGGGAGTGCACTTCGTGTTTTCTGTCACTGTGTCTGTGGGCAGAGGTACTAGTGATGGTATTATAGTCACAACAAATAAAACAATGGTGCTTCAGGGACAATAGCAGGAAAAATTGAATTAGGAATTTCTCTCCATTGCTTCTGGACATCGGGAGTCTCTTCAGTGTCCTTATCTGTGAAATGGGTGTGTTAATGTGTGTCTCCCTTGCTTGATAACAGTAAGGATGGCAAATCAGTGTGCCTGTGTTTTAAGGTGGTGACAAGTACAGGCTGGGCGTACAGCTCAGTGCTAGAGCACATGCAGAGTGTGCACAGGCCGTAGATTGGGTCCCTAGCACCAAAGCCCCAAACAAATCCATGTGAGGTGTTCCACTGATGCCAGGGAGGTAGTGTTCTCCAGGTAGACACATGGTCCTTGCCTGCGGAGGCGTTTCCTTCTCCGGCTTCCTCAGGAAGATGTGCTTGGAGAAGAGCAGGCTGAGATTTTTTTCAACTGTCACTGATTCTTTGAAAATAATGCCACGCATACTGTGTGATGCTTTAGTCACAGTGGAGAGGATACAAGCAGAAGAAGGCGTATCAAGACCGGCTGGCTTTCCTGCACTCCCACAAAGATGAGGTTGTGAAGGTATGGTGGCCCAGCAGGGTTTGTCCATGGCGGGTGCACGGGACATGTTGAGAAGGCCTCCTCTAAGTTCCGGGCCCACTTCCCACAGATTCAGTCCCTTGCCAGGATGCATCAAGCTAGAAAGCGCTATAGAGATCGCCTGCAGTATTTCCGAGATCACGTGAGTATCCCCAGGTGCAGCAGGCCGGTCAGGTGGGTTGTCCTGTGTCCCTGGTGACAGATGAGTAAAGGAATCTCCTCTTTGTCCCTCAGATAAACGACATTATCAAAATCCAGGCTTTCATTCGGGCAAACAAAGCTCGTGATGACTACAAGACTCTCAGTGAGTAACCATGGCTCCGCGGTGAAGAGTTGAGGCAGTGCTTGGGAGCCCTCAGGTCCTGGGCACTCTCCACGGATCTCTTTGGTTGTCCTGAAGGCAAGGCCTGGGGGAAGGGTGCCACTTGTGATTAAGCCCCTTTGCTAACATGTGGCTAGATGTCTTGCTGCTTGCCGACGTAGCCCTGTGGTAACAAATAACACAACTAAGGCACTGCACTTGGTGGTTGTCTTGGCACATCTCAGGTCTGAGTGTTACTACCCCACATGTCACGAGAGCTTTAAGACAGTGCTGACCCTTCCCCAGACTTAGAGTCTTTCCTGGTAACTCGGGTCCTCGTCTGATTCGTATTTGCTTTGTCAGTCAATGCGGAGGATCCGCCTATGATTGTGGTCCGAAAGTTTGTCCACCTCCTGGACCAAAGTGACCAGGACTTTCAGGAGGAGCTTGACCTTATGAAGATGCGGGAGGAGGTCATCACCCTCATCCGTTCCAACCAGCAGCTGGAGAATGACCTCAATCTCATGGACATCAAAATCGGACTGCTGGTGAAGAACAAGATCACGCTGCAGGTGTGGCCTAGTGCCTGGGTCAGCGTGGGCGCTTTGTACTGCTCCCTGCTGCCGCTCTCTTCCTGAGAGGGAATGTGGGGGCTAACCTAGTCTAACAGGGAGTGTGGAGGCTAACCTAGTCTAACAAGGAGTGTGGAGGCTAACCTAGTCTAACAGGGAGTGTGGAGGCTAACCTAGTCTAACAGGGAGTATGGAGTCTAACCTAGTCTAATAGGGAATGTGGAGGCCAACCTAGTCTAACAGGAAGTGTGGAGGCCAACCTAGTCTAATAGGGAATGTAGAGGCTAACCTAATCTAACAGGGAGTGTGGAGGCTAACCTGGTCTAACAGGGAATGTGGAGACCAACCTAGTGTCACAAGGAGTATGGAGGCTAACCTTGTCTAACAGGGAGTATGGAGGCTAACCTTGTCTAACAGGGAGTATGGAGGCCAGCCTTGTCTAACAGGGAGTATGGAGGCCAGCCTTGTCTAACAGGGAGTGTGGAGGCCAACTTTCTTCAGCTAATCCTCTTCTATTTCCACCCACTATCATTTTGTGTTCTACGTTTTTGTTTGCTTAGAGACTAGACTCCAGGTCTGAATGTCTTGGTTCAATGAATCACCTCATTTGTCCTTCTGTTATCTGATTCAGGTTTTGTTCTAAGTTTTTATTAGAAACAACATCCCAGTCAGTGTCCAGCTATAGTTGGAGAACTTGTTTGTTTTAGGACAAGGTCTCTGGGTAACTCTGAGCTCAAGGTACCACCTGGCCATCCTCCATCCACATGGCTAGGACTGTAGTCTCACCACTGTGCCTGGCTGACTTGTTTGCCAGAATTATGTTTTGGGGGATTTTATCCTTTAGGGTTTTAAACTTCAGGTATTTCTGACTTCAGGATGTTTACTTATTATTTATTTGGGGTTGGGCACGTGTGGAGGTCAGGGGGCAAGTTGCAACTTATTTCCTTCTACCATACGGGACCTGCAGATCAAACTCTGGCTGCCAGGCTCAGCAGCAAGCGCGTTACCTGCTGAGCTATGGCACCGGCCACCCCACCCCACCCCACCCCTAGTTTATTTATTATTTTATATGTGTGTATTTTGCCTGCTTCTATATCTGTGTGCCACATGTGTGGTTGGTGCCCTAGAAGGCCTGAAGGAGGTGTCAGATCTCCTGGAACTGGAATCACAGATGGTTGTGAGCTGCCACGTGGGTGTTAGGAATCATACGTGGGTCCTCGGAAGAGCAGCCAGTGCTCTTAACTGCTGAGCCATCTCTCCAGCCCTAGACGCCTTTTTTTAAACCTTCTGTTTGTTTGCTTGCTTATTCATTTTAGGCGGTGTGGGCAACTGAACCAGGGCTTCCCCCACACTAGGCTGAGTGAGCCACATAGCCAACTCTCTACCTGTCCCCCCACCAGGTTTTTGTAAATTTTATTTTGTGATGATACCTTGATAGGTTGTCCAGATTGTACCCAACCTTGTAAAGTTTTGTTTGTTTGTTTGGTTTTTGAGACAGGGTTTCTGTGTAGTCCTGGCTGTCCTGGAACTCACTCTCTAGACCAGGCTGGCCTCGAACTCAGAGTGCTGGAATTAGAGGCTTGTGCCACTACCGCCCAGCTTCAACCTTGTACTCTTTTGTCTTGATAGCTTGAGTAGTTAGAGTGACAGGAGTTTGTTTGTTTATTGTGATAGCTGAGCTGGGATAGTAGGCATGCTGGGCAGGTACTGAACTTTACCCCTGAAGACATGTTTTTAAGGCTGGGATGTGTCTTAGTTGGTGGCATACTTTAAGCCATGGGTTTCACCTCACATATTGCATAAACTAGGCATGGTGGTACATGCCTTAATTCTTGGACTTGGACAATGGAAGCAGGAAGATCAGAAATGCAAGGCCATCTTTAGCTACATAGTAAATTGAAAGCCAGCCTGGGGTAAATGAGATCCTATTTTTCAACTTCTTTTTTTCTTTTTTCGAGACAGGATTTCCCCGTGTAGTTTTGGTGCCTGTCCTGGATCTTGCTCTGTAGACCAGGCTGGCCCCAAACTCATAGAGATCCGCCTGACTCTGCCTTCCTAGTGCTGGAATTAAATGCATGCGCTACCACCACCTGGCCCTATTTTAAAGGAAAGAGTCATGCTTTTAAGATCAACTCCTAGAAAGTGATTTCCTGATCCCTCTGATCCCACATGGAGAAATCCATGGCTTGGGTTCTTCATGCCGAGGTGGCAGAAGTAGCCTGAGATACCAAAACCAGGATAAAATGGGCTGTTTAAGGGTTGGCCAGTGTGGTACCTGCAGGGGTACAGGATAAAATGGGCCGTCTGAGGGGTGGACCAGTGTGGTACCTGCAGGGGTACAGGATAAAATGGGCCATCTGAGGGGTGGACCAGTGAGGTACCTGCAGGTGTACAGGATAAAATGGGCCATCTGAGGGGCTGGCCAGTGTGGTACCTGCAGGGGTACAGGATAAAATGGGCCGTCTGAGGGGCTGGCCAGTGTGGTACCTGCAGGGGTACAGGATAAAATGGGCCGTCTGAGGGGTGGACCAGTGTGGTACCTGCAGGGGTACAGGATAAAATGGGCCGTCTGAGGGGTGGCCCAGCGAGGTACCTGCAGGGCTACAGGTGCAGAAGCGCCGTCTCTGCTCTGCCAACCTTTGTTGTGTGTTCGTTCTTGTTTGTAGGATGTGGTTTCCCACAGTAAAAAGCTTACCAAGAAGAACAAGGAGCAGCTGTCTGATATGATGATGATTAACAAGCAGAAGGGAGGCCTCAAGGCCCTGAGCAAGGAGAAGAGGGAGAAGCTGGAAGCCTACCAGCACCTGTTCTACTTACTGCAGGTGAGTGGCTCTGGGGGTTGGGTGTGCAACGCCCAGCTGAGTTCTTCCTCGTGGGGAAGCCTTCCCACAGACCCCTCTAGGAGTCTGGCTGGCTCGCCCATTGAGGGCCATGAGAAGGGCTGTCTTGTTCTTCTGTATATTGTGATCCTTGATGTTTTACAACCATGAACTTGGGAGGGGAAGCTCAAGAGGCCTCAACCCTGGACAAAGAACTACGGCAGTTAAGGAATGCCGGGAGCAGGAGTAAGAGTCTCCCCAGGGCAGAGCACCCCGGCTGCTTAGCTAATACCAAATGATCAGCCCTGAAAACATGTATACGAGTAACGTTATACAGACTGAGCAGGTTATATTTATATATTTATATACCAACGATGAAAGAAAAAGAGGCCGTGAGTTTGAGAGAGCAAGGGAGGGTATATAGGTGGGATTGTGGGGGGGAAAGGGAAGGGGGAGATCGCAGAATTATAATTTCAAAAAAATTATATAAAAAAGCATGGATTAAAAGAAAAATCAATCTTTATATTATCTAAAAGTTTCTGATCCGTTGGTTTTATTTCAGACCAACCCCACCTATCTGGCCAAGCTGATCTTTCAGATGCCTCAGAACAAGTCCACCAAGTTCATGGACTCTGTCATCTTCACACTGTACAACTATGCATCCAACCAGCGAGAAGAGTACTTGCTGCTGAGACTCTTCAAGACGGCACTCCAGGAGGAGATCAAGTATGGAAGGACAGACAGACAGGGTGGACGGATGGGCGGGCCTCTCCCATCACCGGAGAAGCTCAGAGTTCAGACTCAGGCTAACCTTTGCATTTCCTTGGTCTCAATTTGTGAGAAATACTCTTTTCAAAATATCCACTTTAAAATAGCTAGTATGAAGTGTTGGTAACTGCCTAGTGTCATGGTGCACTCCTGAAGTCCCAGCATTTTAGAGGTCGGAGCAGGAGGTTAATAGTTATTAGAATTAATGCCCAGAACGGGTCTTCATATTCAGGGCCTTGCAAAGCATTCCTGTGCCGAGTGTGGCCACCTGTCCATCCCTGTCTAGTCTATCAAGAGGCATGAAAGACCTTTCAATCCTGCAACCGAACCAAGCCCGACCGTAGCTGATTCTTAGCGGTTATTACTATATAGTTATTCCAGTTATGAGTGACTCCTTAAGAGAGCCAGGTGGGGCTGGCAAGATGGCTCAGTGGGTACAAAGTGCCTGCTGCCAAGTCTGAGTGTGGGAGGCCAGCTCCCGCCTTTTAAAGGGTTCCTACAAGGAGGAGAGAGGAATAAGACACTTTTAGAAAATAAAATAAATTAAAAAAAAAAGAAAGAAACTTTTAGATAGAAAGATAGTGGAGAGGAGACAGACAGAAACACAGGATAGCTTCGGGAGGACCTGGATCAAAAGCCACCGGCCCCTTCTGTCTCTTCAAAAGGGCTTTTTATAACAACACTAAGGGGTGGAGCAAAAGACCTCCCCCGTGCTAGACCAAAGCACATCGCACAGTCAAGTGCAGACCCTTCCAAACACCTGGTAACCACACCCGTGGTCCAGTCATTCCCCTATGGAGGCTTATTGGGTAAAGCAAGCTCAGATCTCACTAGGAAACCTCTGTGGGTCTACACATCTGATGACCTGAGGTCAATCCTCAGACCCACATGGTAGAGAGAACTGACTACACACACATTCTGCATAATAACTACATGTAATTTTGTTTTTGTTTTTGTTTTTCGAGACAGGGTTTCTCTGTGTAGCTTTGTGCCTTTCCTGGAACTCACTTGGTAGCCCAGGTTGGCCTTGAACTCACAGAGATCCGCCTGGCTCTGCCACCCGAGTGCTGGGATTAAAGGTGTGCGCCACCACCGCCCGGCAACATGTAATTTTTAAAAGAAAGAGCAGGACAGGCATGATGGCCTACCGATAATCCCAGCATTCAAGAGGTGGAGGCAAGAAAATCATAGACCCTGTCTCAAACAAAATACAAAAAGTATTGCCAGGAGGCAGAGGCAGGAAGATCAGGAGTTTGAGGCCAGCCTCAGCTACACAGAGAGAACTTAACTCAGGGAAAAAGTGATATTGCGGTACTGGTCCTAATGTGAAGGGCCCAACTGAGTGAGCAGCTACCGGAAGTTCTGTGACTATCAGGAGATGCTTCCAGAGGAAGACATGACCTGGTTCCAGAAGAGTGTCTTTAAGTTGATAGATTCTGGTATAAGTTTAAATTTAATTTGTGTTTGATATATTATAGGTCAAAGGTGGATCAGATTCAAGAAATCGTGACAGGAAACCCTACGGTTATTAAGATGGTTGTGAGTTTCAACCGTGGTGCCCGGGGCCAGAATGCCCTCCGACAGATCTTGGCCCCTGTTGTGAAGGAGATTATGGATGACAAATCGCTCAACATCAAGACCGACCCTGTGGATATTTACAAGTCTTGGGTTAATCAGATGGAGTCTCAGACGGGAGAGGCAAGGTATGATCAGAACACCTTTCCTTTCGTGTGCTTGTTGTTCTCTGTATCTTTTTTAAAATGCAGTCACTTTTGATTTACAATAACAATTGTTCAAATAACTTTTCCTGCACATTTATAATCTCAGTGTTTGGAATCTGGAGGCAGGAAACTCAGTCATAGCTACATAGTGAGTTCCAGGCCAGCATAGACTATATGAGATTCTGTCTCTAAAAAGGAAGCGCGCACACACACACACACACACACACACACACACACACACACAACTTTTCCTTTGAGAACGGTGATTTAAGTTGATAATTCCCTTATTAGGCAAATATTTATCAAGTGTTTGTTATATACCGGCACTATTAGATACATGTAGAATAAAACAATAGTGAACGAGGCGTGGGCGAGAGAGCTCAGTGGTAAAGGCTTTTCCTGTGCAGTCCTGGAGAACTGAATTCCATCTCTAGAGTCCAAGTAAAAGTGGAGAGAACCAACCCCAACAGAGTTGCCCTCTGACTCTCCCCATAACAATAAAAAGAGAGAAAGAATAAAAACTGTAACAGTGATGACACGGACTCACTCCCTTACCCCTTTATAGTTCATTGCTGAAGAGCTAGCACACAGGTAAATAAAAATCACAATCGAGGGAAGGTTTTCAAGGCTCTTTGTAAGGTCTTCTGCCGGAGTAGAGGAGAGCGCTGATGTAGGCAGGTGGTTAGGGACAACCGTCTGCCGAGGCAGGACTTGTAGCTGGACCTAGAGGACACCATGGTGAGTAGGGCTGGGCGCACAGTGTGCATGCGCACTGCCCTGCGGTGGGGGGCCTAGGACCTCCTCGCTGTAGCTGGAGCAGTTGAAGGGGACCGCTCATGCGGATCGGGGTGGGGGAAAGACTGTGGTTGGATGGTGACCTGTGCCTGGGTACGGAGGGCTGAGCCAAAAGAACGCATGTGTTTGGGGAGCTGAGTCCGCCGGAGTGAACTCCAGAAAGAGAACCAGAAAGAGATCTAAAGCAAAGGCTTGGCAATCCATCGTGGGTAATGCTGGGAACAGGAAGTTCAGGAGCCGCGCTGCGTTTGGCTTTCCACAGGTGGAGTGGGCACCAGAGACCAGTGAGCAGCTCGGTCTGTTTTCCTTTGGGGCGGGTTGGACAGCAGGTAGCTCTCTGGGGCCTGGTGGAGTAGCTTTGCACACCTTTGTCCTTCAGCCTGCAAGCCGGGCATGGTGGCTCGAACACGGAAAGCCAGCGCTTTGGGGGCTGAGGCAAAGTTAGCTGCAGAAATGTGTCCTTTACAGACCAGTAACAAAATCTTCTGTGTCGCTGTTGATTTTAGTGTCCTGTAAGTCTGTCACCGGGATGGCAGTCTTTGCCTGTCTTTTTCTTTTTCCTTTCTGGTGCTGGGGAAGAACCACTCAGGTCAGCTCTTAGCTCTACCTCTCCACCATTTTTATCTGGGAAGTTTGGCCTCTCCCCCAGGCCATCTTAGATAGCAGCTCCCTGAACGCTCGAGGTTACTAAGTTACTTCCTTAGATGATCAATGAGTCTGTCATCTACAAATCAGAATTCCACTGGCCAGTTCAGGATTTTTTCTTGTTAGTGTTGGTAAGAAACTGTGTCTCCTGATTTTCACAAAATGGAAATAGTGGTTGTTTTTTCAGTACTAGTACCTATGAGGCATGGAGAGCCACCCAGCATGTAAGCACCTTCCCAGCATTTTCCTATCTAGTTAATCACCCAATACAGCAGACTCGGACCTTGTCACCTCTTAAGGAGAAGTATCATCTCTATATCCTTAAATTTTCCCTCTTCTCGAGGTGGTGGCGCATGCCTTTAGTCCCAGCACTTGGGAGGCAGGGGCCAACCTGGTCTAAAGAGCAAGTTCCAGGACAGCCAGGGCTACACAGAGAAACCCTGTTCCAAAAAAAACAAAACAAAACAAAAAAAAGAAGTTCCTCTTCTTCTCGGTATTCTTTTCTATGACCACAACCACTGGCCTTTGTGGTTTGGATTCTTTGGCTTGTTACTATTTTTGTTTTATTTATTAACTTTTGTACAGTGCTGAGGATCAAACCCAGGACCTTGTACATGGCAGACAGCGCTCTGCCACTGACCCACTCTCCCAACAAACATGTGAGGTTACGGTGACCTTGACTGGTATAAGAAAGACAACGTAGCTTACCATCATAAATTACAGTCCCGTACTGGCTGTCATTCAGTGTGCTATGGCATTGTACTCCGTCTGCTTGTCTTGCTTTGCCATGGCAACTGGAACCAACTCACTATACATCCTTTCCTTGGCTTCAATTCTGGTGGCCTTTGGCACTGCTTAACTTGTGACCACGTGACTCTATTCTCTTCCTCCCTGGCTGCTCCCCTCCCCTCTATACTAAGTCTCCCTCTGTCTCTCTCTTCTGTCAGGTCACCTGGCTTATATTTAGGGACCACTTGGATAATCTAAGATAGTCATCAATTTTTTTTTTTAGCTTTGAAAGTACCAGAAGCCTTTTCTGTCTCTCAGCTCGGCGTCTTTATTTCCCCCTGTTAAGTGTGGCCCATGTTGTAGCACATCTGTTACTCTCATACCAGCCGGTCCCTTTCTTTTCTTTCTTTTGGACAAGTCCTTATGCATCCCAGGCTGGCCTTAAATTCGATGACTTTGAACTCTTGACCCTTCCACCTCCACCTCCCAAGCATGCACTATAGAGCCTGATTTATGTGGTGTTGAGGATTGAACCCAGGGCTTGGTGTCTGCCACCGGCCCCACCCTCAGCCTCTCACGCCTGCCTCTTCTGACTAACGTACTCCTTCAGTTCTGTCTGCCTGCCTCCTCTAACATCCGGGGTACCCAGTGCTGTCGGCTGGGCTGCGCCTCTTCAGTCCCGTGGACCTTCTTGGTCTCCATTGTTACCTACATCTTTGTTGATACTTATCTTCCCTGGATCAAGCGGGACACCACTTTCCACATCCCTCGTCTGTGTCTGTCAGTCCATCTTTAATTCCTTGTGCTGAGCTAGGGCAATCTTTCCTCACAATATAGAACTTTCTTTAAACTGTATGTGTGTCTGTGTTGGGGGTAGGGGAGTATGTGGAGGACAGAGGACAACTTTGTGAGGTTTCCACCCTTCTGTGGGTTCTGGGGACCAAACTCGAGTCTCCAGACTTGCATGACAGGCCCTTTCACCTGCTGAGACATCTCGATCCTCCAGAACCTCAGAACCCAGACTTAGCAGGTGTCTAGGATCCTCCGGGGCCTGATCCCATAGCCTTTTCACCCTTGTTTCTCTCCCGTCTGTTCTCCGTGTGTGTGTGTGTGTGTGTGTGTGTGTGTGTGTGTGTGTGTGTGTGTGTGTGTGTGTGTGTAGACGTCCCTCCTAGAAGACCCTTCACCTCCGTTTTCTTGAGCTGAGGTGTCTGTCTGTCCCTGGGGTCGGGAGCTTTCCTTCCTTTCTCTAGTCTGAGTAGAGGCTCTGCCTGTGGCTCACAGTGCGTTGTCTTTCTTCATTGTGGGGATTAACCCGGGCCTTGGGTACACTGGGTAAGTGCTGCATCACTGAGCTAGCCTGGAGCCCACACAGTATGTTTATGACCACTGCTTATATGCCTCTGCTGCCGTGAGAGACTCGACAGATAGATGTCTTCAGTACTTACTGTCTCCAAGTGCTGACACAGAAGACATCCAATTCACAGTTGAAAACCCAAGTTCAAACCTTAGCCCTAGCTTTTACCAGCTCTGTGCAGAGCAACTTAAGTTAGCTCAACCTTCTGGGTCTTTCTAGTTATAAAAGATGAGTTTCCTGCCTTGAGCTATCTTGGGCATTGGTCTAACATTGCTGGGGGTTATTTCTGTCTTCTTAGCAAACTGCCCTATGATGTGACCCCTGAACAAGCCTTGTCTCATGAAGAAGTGAAGACAAGGCTAGACAACTCCATCAGGAACATGAGGGCCGTGACAGACAAATTCCTCTCAGCCATCATCAGCTCTGTGGACAAAATCCCGTGAGTACCATCAGTTATGACCCCCGAATACAGCCTGGCATTGATGGTCTTCGCTGTGGCCCTGACCTTCTCTATTTCGTCCATCCCCCAGTTATGGGATGCGCTTCATTGCCAAAGTGCTGAAAGATTCGCTGCATGAGAAGTTCCCTGACGCTGGTGAGGACGAGCTGCTGAAGGTAAGAATCTGAAAACTGGTGCGTCCCTGCCCTCCTCGGAGCCGCTAGAGGCCGCCTAGAAACCTAGTCCTGACCGTAGACCTGAGTGTCAGTTCTGGCGCAGCTCTCCTTGGCTGTGAGCCTCAAAAGCGGCTGTAAATAGAAGACGACAGCCTTTTTGATCAGTTTCTGTTCGCTGGAAAGGCACACTGAGTGAGCATAGGAAGTGGGATTTTCCCCGAGTTCTCTTTTCTCGGAAGCATTGCTCCCTCTCCTGGTGGCCAGGCGAATAGCAGCAAGCGCGGTGGCCCTGCTAAGGCTTCGCTGTTGGCTCTTCCTACTGGCTGTTTTCTTTCTGTTGATTTACTTTTATTTTTTTAATCTGAACGCTTTTCTCTTCTCTCTCCTAGTTCTGTGCTTTCCTACAGTGAGGCCTCGATTCTAGACTTTCTGTTCAGGTGAATTAATTTTATTTTTTTCTGGAACTCTAGGGGAGATGCCATGATTGTCCTTGAGTTCTCCTGTGGAAGAGATGCGTGTTGAGTGAATCTTATTTCAGAGGCATGCCCTTGGCCTTTGCAGTCTGCAGCATGTGGATGGTGGGGTTGGACAGATGGCATTGTTCTAGAAAGGCCATCTTAAGGATTGGCTTTCGCTGTGTGCCATAGCTTCCTAAGAGCCCACCCATGAAACCCAAAAGCGCAGGTGGATGGCAGCAGCCTGAGCTGCTCCTGTCACGTGGGAACAAAAGATGCCCTGACCTCTTGGATCATACAGCTTAAGTGTCACTTATACCTTCTGAATCCATTCTTTCATCCATCCTGGTAGTAGTTTTCAGTTCTCTTGTTCCCCCATACACCCCAGAATTTTTTTTAATTTATTTTGAATTCTAGGTCTTGAAGGAAAGTGTATGTGCATGTATGCATGTTGGCGTGTATTTTTTGTTTCCCTTTTCCTCACAGGACTGCATTTTCTCATTTTCATTGCTAGCGAAGTCACGTGCGGCTTCCTTAGCAGGGTGCTCTTCAGTGCCCGTGTTTCTGTTTCAGATTATTGGTAACTTGCTTTATTACCGATACATGAATCCGGCTATCGTTGCTCCCGATGCCTTCGACATCATTGACCTGTCAGCAGGGGGCCAGCTCACCACAGACCAGCGCAGAAATCTGGGCTCCATTGCCAAGATGCTCCAGCACGCAGCTTCCAATAAGATGTTTCTGGGCGATAATGCCCACTTAAGCATCATTAATGAGTATCTTTCTCAGTCCTACCAGAAATTCAGGTAAGGGGCAAAGTAGACAAAACATAACCCAGCCTTTTATAATACTTTGTCTGTGTTTGGTATAAGGGTAATGTTGATCTCACAAAATGAACTGAGAGATGGTCTCTCTAGGGGAGAGTTTTGTGTTTCTTTGTTGTTGTTGTGGGGGAGTTGTTTGTTTGTTTGTTTGTCTGTTTTATGTTGTGGGTTTTTTGTTTGTTTGTTTGTTTTTATTTTGTTTTCCAAAACAGGGTTTCTTTGTGCAGTCCTGGAACTCTCTCTCTAGACCAGGCTGGCCTCAAACGAAGAGATCTGCCTGCCTCTGCCTCTGCCTCCTGAGTGCTGGGACTAACGGTGTGCGCCACCACTGCCTGGCTGGTTGAGTGATTCTTTGGGTGGAAACAAAACTGGCCCGAGAACTAGCTGTCAGGGTCCCACGGCTGCCAGGCAGGATTGGAACAGCACACATGTGGCCATTTTTCTCGAATGTCGTTGTCTTGGCTGTTACTGTCTGGGCACGGCCGGAGCTGGGAAGGTCTGAGTGCCCTCCCCACAGCTGGACACAGCTGGAGCTGGGAAGGTCTGAGTGCCCTCCCCACAGCTGGACACGGCTGGAG